TGGCTTTGCCGCTCTCAGCAGCCAGCATGCCCAGCGATCCCTACCATGAAAAGATGCTCGCGTCCTGTGTTTCGGGACCTAAGCGGACGTCAACAGGAAGTAACGTGCGAGAGTGCGAGACTTCAACAACTGAGAGTGGGAAGCAGCCTTGTGCACATCCCAGCGCCGTAGCACGAGTCCAATATCCAGCAGCCGCAAGTCTCACAGCCTTCGCAGCAGCCGACGCCTTCAGGTCAGCCTACGGCTTCTTCACAGCCTGCCGAGTCAGCCGAGCCCTGGCTGGTAGCCGACGACTCTTCCCGCCTATACACAATGTTCGGGAAGGCCTACGATGCGCCTACGCTGAGGGATATTACCAGCCGAGGCGAGACGCCTGAGATCCTGTACAAGGATTTTTTCCCCCTGGCCAAGCCCTTTGGAATCGCCAGGAACTTTGGGCGTTCCTGACCAAACTGACAGAATAAGCCTGAATACGCTCGACACATCATCACTCCGTGTGGGTGCTGCGACATCCCCACGTGACACCTGAAAGCACCGGCCAGGTTTCTGCAGCTCACAGCTGGATGCGCGAGTGCATGAAGCAACCTCGAAGCAAACAGGTACAGGGGGTGAAGGGCAAACCCTACCTGCCCAACCTGTTGCTCAAAGTAGGTACCCCGACATGGAGGATTTCACCACCGAGCCTGAGTGGGATAATAGCCAGGGTGGTCATGAAGTCCGACATGCGCAGAACCCACGTAACCCACAGGAGGAGCTAGTTTGTGTACACCGGCGAGTGGAAGTGTGCGCAAGCACGTCAGACTTGCCCGGCACGCCTGAACTGCTCACCCGCCAGGCGCCTGTCCCGCAACACAAGGCTTTTCCTTGCGGGAAGCACCTCAAACGAGTGGACCCAAAATCTTGCACGCACGGATCTTCGCAGCATGATGTGGCACGCAGGACGAGGAAATGCTGACATGCCACTTTTCAGAAGCTTCGCTGGGGCCTTCTGAATGATAGTTCTGACAGTACACAACCCATTGACGGCTCAGCGCGCTTGGTGTTGAATGCCCGTTCTTGATCCCTCGATATGCCGACATCCCCGAGGGCGCAACGCTCAATGTTTGTCATCATCTTGCAACCGATCAAGTCGCAAGCCTCGGGCCAACAAATGCCGGATCTCTTATAGGATGCCAGGAACCAAGAAAGAAAGGATGTACAGCTTCAAGCTCATCGAAGCTGCGGGCGGCGAAGGCTTATAAGGGGCTTGTAGGGCTTAGAGAAATGCAGGCCCTGGCGGTCCTGAAGTCGAGAGGAGGTCGCAAGAGCGGGAAAACTTCGAGCAGCCCTTGTTCCAAAAGCTGCGTTTCCGGGGCAGCGGTCCTCAAATTCTGCAGCGATCCCGAAGCCTTGTGTCCGAGCTGTGCCCACAGAACCGCGCCCGGTAGATGGTTGGACAGCCCGAGCGGCTGCGAAGGGTCGACCTCTACGGACATGCTTGAGGTGTTCAGCTGAGTTTGGATGGCAGCTCCTCAGCCACGGGATATTGAACGATGACGCAGCGTGCCAAAAAGATGAAGTCCTGACACACCTCCGAGGTCGCAGGAACACCGAATTCAACCCCAAACGTGATGACAACTCCTACTTAGAGTGGCACTGCGTGTGGTTCTGCTGCACTTCTCCCGGTCTTCATGCACATGAACATGAGTCCCAACACGCCGATTGCCATCTAACGGTGTATGTCCCTGCGTATGTCAGTACCGTTCAACAAAACTCCGGTGTCCAGCCTGCGGTTTGGGAGATGTTTTTTAGTTGTTGTTGTATTTATGTCAGTGTTGTGTCTTGGTCAGACCCTTGCGGTTTGGACCGACCCACGGTTTCCAGCAGTCTTGGTCTTAGCGGGCGGCCGTGCGATTGCATGGCATGTAACAAGATGACGGAAGAACAAGCGTTGGCTTCACCCTCGCAATAAGTTACATTTTCTGCTTTTCGGATGCTCGCCTGAGACAGTGCGAACAACGCTGGATTTGGACCAACAAAATCTGCCAAGGCGAAGTGATGGTGAGTCCACGAGGGAGCAATCAGCGGCAGAGGCTGCACAGGCCATCGACCATGCAAAGCTCTTCGCCGAAGCTTCCATTGCAGGAGCCCGGAATTGTTCGAACGGCAGGCAAACCCCAAACAGCAAACCAAGAAACTTCGGGACTACTTCGGGAGAACCCCTGCTTGCCAAAGTGATTGACATTGTAGAAATGCTCGCGTCTGGTTCCTCCTCAAACTCTCCCTGCTGGCTCGTCGACTCGTCGCCAGCTTGGTATCCGGCTTTCTGGATCTTCTAGCCGCACAGTGGCAGCATCCTCAGCAGCGGCTTGTGCGAATCGAAGCAGCTGCTGACTCCTGCTCCTACTGCTCGGCACCCTGCAGAAGGCTAAGACACTCCGGCATACTCTTCTCAGAAGACACTTCCCGTCACCCAAATCTGGGGGTCTAAATTAATTTAGACCCCGTGCTCCACCAGCTGCCGGGCTGGAAGGCGGAGGCCAGCACCTCGTCGCCCTTGCAGCACCGCATGCCGCACGTTTGAGGGCCACCCGCGCCTCCGACAGCCCGTCGTTCTGAAGGCCCACGTTCAGGAAGCTTACGGGCAAGTAATCCTGGCGCGGCCGCGTGCGAGCACCGGCACGTGGGCCAGCCACTCCGTGACGCCGCTGCGGAGCAGGATGTAATCGGCGGCGCTCTCGCGGATCAGGTGCTGCGCCTCGTCGAAGCTCGGCGGCCTCCGGCGACCCTGCGACCTGGGCAGGAGCATGAGTGCAGGAGGCGAGGATACGACGTTGCGGCACGAAACAGTTGCCCGCCTGCAGGCGCGGAGCTTCCAACGGGCACCCCGGCACCCGCAAATGGTAAGCATAGCATCATGGACCGAAGTTGTGAAGCAATGGTACGACAAGAAAGGGCAGCGCCGACTCTGCAAGACGTGCCACGCAAATTTGTCTCAGCCAGATCCTGCCGACAGCGAGTGAGCAGCGCGACGCTTGAGCTCTGAGGGGTGAAGATCGACCTCCAAGGCACTGCACCACAGCCGCACCTACCTCGCACAAAGCTCCGCCATGCTCCGCTGCTGGGATGTGCTTCCCACACGATGACAACTGCATGGGGGTTTCGAGAATTAGGGGCCAACCTGGGGAGTCCCTACAGTGAGGAATCCACTATGAGACAATGTTGGGATCTATTTCAGCACTCACGCTGGGCAATGCCGGGTGAAGGTCCAGATTATTAAGTTGGTGCTAAGTTGGTTTTCCGGGTATGTGCCGTTGCGTTACGCTAATTCTTGTGACTGTGACAGTTGGAAGCGGTTGGAGGCTCAAAACGCACATTGCTCTTGATGTTCTCCAAAAGGCAGCCAAGAATGGATGCGCCACGCGACGCAAGTTCATTTCGAGATCAGTGAATGCAGTCTAGTGCTTTTGATGTGACGCATTGTTTTTGGTCCTTATAAGAGCAGGGGAGCTCAATGATGGCATTCTTGGGATGCTGGAAAAACTTTTCCATCGCATAAGAAACAAGCAGGTTGTGTGGTGGCAAGTGCTGCTTTGATCGGTCAACGAGTTTTCACATCCTGAAAGTACACAGGCCACCGGGTGGAGTGAGAGTTTCGGTATCTTGAGGTCTCCTTCCACAACCAGGGCTTTTGCAGAAAGGGCTGGGTCAGGGTCTGAGTAGGTGTAAGTTGATTTTTGTCAGGGCTTGTATGCGGGGATTGTTTGGCTGCAATGTCGAGTCATGTCGAGTCTCTAGTCCAGATGCTGGGGCCCCTGATTTTTGGACATTTCCCAGATATTCAATTAAGATCCTATCCCGCTGCAAGCCCGAGTCTTCATCTCCAGGCCGATTTCAGTTGCTCGAAGACTTTTGAAAAGAAAAATGTTGCACCCCTTCGGCTACCCAAGGTACTGTAAGTGCCGAACCCTCAGGCAGGGAAGCAGCCGAGCAGCAAGATCTCGCTGCCGAGACACGCTGCAAACATCAGGCAAGTAAGAAGGCCACCAAGCCGTTCTGATCTTCATTCGTGCACAGGAACTTGCGCCTATGGAGCATGCTGCTTGACAGCTCACCCCAGCAGACATACTAATATTTGTAGTGGACATCGTTAATGGGCAGGCATTGCAATGGGGGTGCCAAGCTGAATAGAGAGCCGACTGCGAAGGGCCCTTGCAGGGTCGCCGAGCACAACATCTGCATCTTGTTCTAGCGGGTCAGGGCCCTCAATGATGCGGAGTCCTGACCGCTTAAGTGAGCATATGCTCTTGAGTCTATGAGCAGCGACTGCAAAACTTCGGCTGAGCCAACCAAAGTCCTGCCAGGAACAGCTGAGCGGAGACTGCGGCCCAAGAGATTCGATCTGATAGTCAGACATTCTTGCCCAAAGAGACAGCAGGGCTGAGTTTTCATGGCCTTAGCGACTGCAGGTGCCATTGGAGAGCTCTCGTAATATCACAGCAGCATCCCGGGCAGCCTATGTGGGTCCTCCACGGATGGAGGCCTGAGGCAAACGTGCATGTGGGGTTGGCAGGTGGTTGAGCTGTTCCTTGCGTGCGCTGAATGCGCACGTCCACACGAACCACCGCAACCACCCAAACGTGGGCTTCCCCGAATACGTGTCTGAGAGACCTGGGCCTGGACCTGTGCCCGTCTCATGTGTTGTGGACCGCTGTGGAGCGGTAGATGTAGTACACGCTTTCTACCTCCACATACCTCCACCCCTCCTAAGTCACAGGGGGTTGCTGATTAAGAACAGAGGCTGTTTGTTGTCTTGCTTGGCTCCCTAAAGACGAGTATCTGCTTGGAGAACCAGCAGACAACAGTCAGCAAATAGCTGACATGAAAGTTGCGAAGCATCGGCAGAAGGAGTGTAATGCACCGTGTGACAGCCTGTATAACATGAGGCTGCCCCTCGGAGATTCATTGATGGCGACGCGAGACTGCGGCCGTTGAGATGTCGGCCAGAGTTGAACGTCCAGGTGAAGACGGCCACAAAGGTCGCGGAAGCACCTCGGTCATACCACTTGCGGATGATTCGCCTGCCTCACCTCGCAGGCTGCGTGCCCTCTGCTGCCGAAACCTTCACAAAGCCCCAGGTTCTTGCAGTTTGTCACTGCTGCCTATCGACCGCCGGAGCTGTGGCCCCTGCTTCGCAAAAGGGATGCAGAGTGTGGTGTCAGCAAGGACATGTTGACTGCAGCTGTGGATGTGTGGGCCTATGCTTGCGTGGTGTATGAGGTGGAGACCGGGCAACACTTCATGGCCAAGGGAGACGCCGGACTGAGAACGTGGTGCAAGCAGTGGCCCGAGCCGTGGAAGACACGCAGCAGCTTAACGAAGTGTGCGCCCGCATGTAACACTTGCTGCTTCAAGCCGGTACGTGGGCCTTGTTTGTGTTGGTTTTTCTCCAGAGCCTGGAAAGCGGCGGTGGCCTAAGCTCGTGAAACGACCGAGCTGCTCGGATATCGTGTTCATTGTCGTAGTCAAGAACATTATTAATTGTCAGTCCTATTGTCGACCATCGTGATGGCTGGCCTGGCGAAGTGTCTTTGCCTGGCTAGTGGGTCGTAGCAGCCCCCTGGAGCCAGGGATGCCACCAACAGCTTTCGTGCTCGATTTCGGCACGGAGCTGATGGCCCAGGAAATTGCAACCTCCTTCTCCAGCTGCACACATGCAAAGGCAAAACGTGCAGGATGGCACGTGTGGGTCCCTGTCTAGCCACTACTGCGAACACTGCGAGAACCGCACGCCCCAGCCTAACCTGTCGTGTACGGAAACTGGTTGCTGCAGGCAAACATGGCCTACATCAAAATCAAAGAGTAGCTGTACCCCTTCGAAAAGTCTCCACGGCGACTGTGCAGCCACACTCGGGTCGACATGTTTTAGACCGGCGAGGACATGCAGAACGCCGGTGAACCGCGGCATCTGTTTGCTTCATGCGACGTCTCGGCTGCATTAAGCAGCAAGCCGCATTTTTCGCCAGCCATCGCAGCTTTTTGGAGTTCCCGTTATCGCCAGCCTACGGCTGGTCTTTGCAAGGCCCTGCAGGGCGGTCTCGTGCTGGAGAGTTTGCGGGACTTGTAGTTGGAGCGTGTGAATTGGTTCCTGGAAATCATAGATACTTACTGATTGAATTTCACTACGCACGTGCATCCCGTGCCGGTGCTCAGCAACAAGGACTGTACCTGCATGTCTTTGCAGTGCCCATGCTCTCTGCCAAAATCTGCCACGGTGCTTTTTCATGCGTTTTTCTCCATAGGCAGAAAACTGCGCAGAAGCATCTTTGCCGGACGACGGCGTAAGCCACCGGAGAATTCGGTGCCAAGCACAATCTGAGCAACTAGCTACCTAGGTCCGCGTTGCTGGGCATGCCGCTCCGAGCTCAGACTCGTCGACCCTGGACTTGGACCCTGGACAGTCTTCAGAGACCTTGCTGTTGGGAAGCGCCCAAGCTATCGAGCTGAGATGAGGGAACCAGTTTCAGGCAGCTTCAGGCACGCGGCATGCGATTCCGCCACGTCGACCTGCTTGGCTGGCGGGCAAAAATCTGCGGCAGGTACACTTCAAAGACAGGATAAATCGTCCGCACAACGCAGTATTTGGGAATGTCAAAACGCCAAGGTCAACAGCGGAGCTAGCCAGAAGCTGTCACTTCCCTAGCCTGGACAATCCTCCCTTCAGCCGCCGCATGCATCAAGACACCGCGCTGCGACAAGCCCTTGCTTCAGGCACACGTCATGGGATGCCGCCACGTCGACCTGCTTGGCGGGCGGGCAAAACATGAGGGCCAATGCTGCAAAAAACAGTGTCTTTTCTTTCGCCAGGGCTGTGGACTAGGGGGTTGCCGCCCCCCAAAAACAAACAGTGTCTGTCTCTCTCTCTCTCTCTGCCGTTGCACCCAGAGGGTCTGGCAGCGCTAGGCAACGCGTGAGGGCCGATTAGCCCCGCACAAATGAAACAGCAAGCCGCAACTCAAGCAGTAGTCAATGCCGACACACGCCAGGCACAGACCTCTGCCTTCACCTTGACGGCCCACGCGGAGAAACCTCTACGACTACGCCAGCCTCACGAACCTGCTTGAGTCTAGTGTGGCATGCATCGCGACACGAACTGACCATTGCAGGTGGACCGTCATCCAACAAACGCACGTAGAAAAAAACAGTGTCACGCATGTGCATTTTGCGGCGGATAACCACAGGATGATGCGTCCGCACAACCCATGTCCCAGTTCGCCAATAGCGGAGCCAGCCAGGAGCTGTCACTTCCCTATTGTCTGCGGGGCTGGCCACGAGCCCTGCCGGGCCTTGAAAAGCGCTTCTTATATGCTCGGAGTACACCGAAAATGCCCATCTCGTTGCAGGTCAGCAGACTGCTGGAAAGAAGCCAGGCCTGCCAGCGGCATGGGCCACGCAAGGCCCGAGAAGAACGGAACTTCCGAAGTCTGGTCGCTCTAGCTGCGGATGCTGTACTGGTCGGCAGCTCGGCCCGCAAAATGTGGCCGTGGAGTCTTGGAGGCGCGTGGTCAACACTCCGCCGCATGCATCAGGACCCCCGCGCTGCGACGAAGCCTCGCTGCCATTGCTTCAAGCACATGTTATGGAATGCCGAAAGTCGACCTGCTTGGCAGGCGTCCGCCAGCGAGGCAAGCGGCACATGCGCTGCAATTGGCAAGTGCTGGCGGCTCGGCCTGCAAAATGTGGCTGTGCAGTTTGGAGACGTGTGGTCAGCACTGCTGGGCCAACTCCCAACCGTTGTCCGGGAGTGCGGAGCTTCGCGCGTGCAGATGTGGGGATGCCAGGTCACTCCTCAGGAGGGCCGCGTCAGGCGGGATTCGAACATATCCTTAAGGGTTGTTTAGGGCTTAGGGGTTTGCAGGGTTTGCGGCCAGGCGTGTGTTGGCGTGAGAGGGGCTTCGCGTTGTGGATATCGATTTCGACTTCCGGCGGCATCGATTCACCCTGACGTGCCCAAGAGGAAGTGATACGATGAGATCGCTGGCTCTGCAGCTCCCTGTTTCTGAGTACCATCCTGGTCCTGCTTCATCATGTTGAACCCCCTTGAGTTTGTATACTGATGGCTTTCTCTGCTTTGGACGTGTGGGTACCGGGCCGACGGACTTCAGCGAATGGTCGCCCAGCGCTCGGCTAACCGCCAGTTGGCCTGGGCAGCGGGGGCCCGGCGGCAGTGGCAGGCAAGTACTACAGTAGCACCGACAGGAAGATCACGGCAAAAACAAAAAGCAGAAGTTGACAGGAGTCGGTGGAGTCTGACTTCCCACTGAGCACATCTAGCCTCCAACACCTCTCTCAACCGGCTCCAAATCTGTCCTGAGATGAGAAGACTGGTCAGACTCCCCCAAAAAGAACCTTATTGGGGCTTGGGGGATGGCAAAGCATCGAGGAGGGGGCACCCGGCACCCCGCCTCACGGAGTTGCAAGCAAGGCTCCCCTGTTACAGACACGCTCTCTGACGGTTACAGAAACCAGCATATGTTACAAGCTGAGGGGAAAAAAGTGCGGCAGAGTGCCCACGAGGGCCCCCGAATCGGCAGTTAACAGGATTCCAACATCAGGGCCGAAATAGACGAGTGCCGGATCAGTACTACGTTGACTCGATCATCTCAATCTCCAGCCCCAAAGCCAGCCACAGGACCACCCCTTGCCGTTCTCCACGCTGGTGTCATCTGTCATGTCCCTCTTCACTCCCACGATGCCTTGGAAATGTCGACTCTCCTGCATTGCCTCGCTCCACGTGAGCATGTCCATAAATGGCTCACACGAGGGACATTCCTCATCACCATAACAACAAAAACAATGGTCAATAGTCCTCATCACCATCATCATCGTCGTCGTCATCATCAGCAATATTGTCATCATCGTCATCACCATCATCATTAGATCATCCAGTAGTACATCAACCATAATCACCCATAGAAGATCATCAGACACCGTCCTTCGGCCTCGCCTTTCCCCAAAAGCCCCCGGGCCCCCGCACCTGGTTGAGCCGCTCCAAAGCTGCTGCGCGCCTGGGACTCCCGCAAATGGGCCCGAGGCCCGTGAGAAGCCCGAGAGAGCCCAGAGTTGAGAACGTATACGGTATAGGGGGTTTTCGGGCGTAGCTTCCTGTCTTTTACAGCTGGGGTCTAGTTGAGTCTAATCTAGAGAGTCCTATCGAAGGAGTCGATATTTTTGACCTGCTCGTTTTTAGGCTCCCCTTACTCTTCTTCACAGCGTGCAGTACCAAAACATAGTTAGAAGAGGCGGCTCCTTGGGGTTTTTGTCGAAGGGTTGGGGCCAAATGAGCATCTGCTGGATTCAGAATTGGACCCCTCGCACCTTCTGGCATAAACACTCCCGAGTCACGAATAAGAAGCCCAATTTCCCCAGTCCTACAAAACAAAACAAAAAAGGAGAAACGCCCCTAAAAAAAGGAGGCCCCCAAGAAAAGTCTGCCAAGGCGCTCTTGCAGGTTGCCGCGGCGGCGCTCCCGCCGGGGCCGGGGGCGAATTGGAGGCTCGGGAGCGCTCGGATGGAGGATCTTGGACTTAGGGCCCTGTGCTGTTTAGGGTGTAAGAAGGGCTCCGTTTAAGGGTTTATAGTGTCAGATGTAAATTTAGGGCCTTTTTTGTAGGGCTTGAATAATTAGGGCTTTAAGGGTCTGGGGCTTCGTAAGGGTTTCGTCAAGGGTTGGGGCTGATAGATAGCGAGTTCACTGCTATTGCGGCAGAGGGCCGGGGGTGCCTAGCGGGGTTCGAGATGTTTCGCAAGGATCTCTGAGGCTCTTGGACTATGGGGCCGGTGATCAAAGGCCTTTCATTTCTTGAGCCATCGAGCAGATCTTGCACCAAACCTACGCTGTGGTCGGCGGAAGGTCAGCTACGAATAGAAATCTGGAGGACGAGAGGGCACAGGTGCAGACTGCTGAGAGGGGTTAGGGACTTGCTTCAGGGCTTCAAGCATCTTTTTTTTGTCGTGAGACTGTTGAAGCGATGTCGACGGCGAGGAGTCTGGTGCTTGGTCGGCAAGCGCCTCGCTGCAGCACAGCCTCTACGAGCATGTCAGGCGTCCCCATGTGCCACCAGGACGGGTCTGCGCCGAGGCGCAAGGAGCCGGGGTCTGGAGACGATTATGGCTGCAGAATGCACTGCTGATCTGTGACCGCATTTCCAATCGCTGCCCACTCCCTGTGTTTCCAGGCTGCAGAAAAGGCGATTCCATTGACATCACGGCCTTTGCTTTTGCAAAACGGTGTGTCCAACACCCGCCTCCAGCCGAATTTGGGCTCTCACAGGAGCCGTCAAAATTGCGGTTTTTCCGTATGACTGGCTGACTGCTTTGCAGGCCTCGGTTGCCACACGAATTTCAAACGAGCTCGGTCTGAGCACGCAGAATACAAATTACATCAACTTTGCAAATATGTTACAAGGATGACAACTGGAGGTCATCGTCCTCTTGAAAAGTTTCAAGAATCACGGGATCTGCCTGGCTCCTCGGCGACTCGACGGCAATCTCCAGAGGTTCGCTGCCCATCGGAATATTATTGGAAGCTTCCTCACTGCTCTGAAGCATTGGGAACTGCACGTGGTCTGGGTCTGTTTGGGTGGGTGGAGCTGCCGTCAGAAGCACGGAGAGATCAGACAGGGCCTTGCCGTTTTGTCGGAAGGAGAGCTCTTGGCTCAGATCTTTGGCATCCAGCAAGTCGCTAAGGCGCACCGCCGCCGAACCTCGGAACTTTGAACGCACATAGATGCCGATCACAATCAGGTGGTACTCGGCCAATCCTGCCAGACAGATACCATCGGCGGCATCGGCCTGGGCTTCTGAGTTCACAGCGACTCTCGTTGATGCTTGGAGGTGACCTGGGACTTGGCAGCTGAGGCAGACATCAGATATGTCAGATTGCTTGGAGGCTATCCGAATCCTCTCCAAGCGAAGCGCATACGTCTTCGCGCGACTGCAAGCAAAGGGCAGGCTGGTGTCCACGTCCGTGCATGCCACCAGCGGCAAGAAAAGGCAGACGAGCAGACCCGGTGTGAGGCAGAGGCTTCTGACTACGCCAGTGGTGGCCGAGATCAGGAAGTCCTCGCCGTCGGCAACACTGACGCTGCTGATGAAAATGCAAATGACCAGCACAGAGAACGCAGTGTAGCTGGACACCTGGGCCGAGTCTGACACAGCTGAAACCACTCTGTTTACACTCTGTCCACACTCTGGTTTAATTCGAAACCGATTGCTGCCAGAGGCAGGCCACGAAGGCCCAGAAGAGCACGCGGGCGCAGGCGCCGAGCTGGGCTGCCACGAGCTTCTGCTCCAAAAGGAGCACGGCCAGGAGCGGCAGGAAGCCCAAGACCGCCCCGATCCAGGCGCTGACGAAGCCCCGCAGGATGGACTCCAAGAGGCCCTCGAAGATCTCGCACTCCTCAAGGGGCCGTCGCAGTTAAAAACTCAGAAATCTCTTCCAAATCTCTCTCAGATCTCTTTCCCACAAAAAAAAAGGAAACAGAGAAGAACCGGCCCGGCCTCGGGCAGGTTCGCCTGCAGGGCTTGGGTGCTGTAGAAGACGCTGACCAGGGCCAGGCCGCTCCAGAAGTTCGCCAATGTCGCCGCCAGGCGCTCCACGGAGGAGCTGCGCATCGCAGGCTTTGACCAGTCCAGCCACTTGCAGAAGGCGCGGAAGGACACCGAGGCTTGGTATGTGAAGCTCTCCCTGTGGAACCGCTCCAAGACCTCACGAGCTCTTTGGTGCAGCGCCGTGTAGCCACCAAGCAAGTAGAGCTGCTTCAGGAAGGCCAAGTCGACACCCACCTCAGAAAGCAAAACCTTGGAGTGGAAGTGCTGCAGCAGGAACCTTTGCACTGTCTTCGGTTTGGGCTCCATCTTCTCCTTGGGAATCTCCAAGCCGCTGGTCATCTTCGTGTGCTTCACTTCTTGGCTGGACTCCCAGCTCTTCAGCAGCTGGGCCCGGTGTTGCCGATGCCTCCTGTCCAAGACAGCTGCCACAGCCAGCAAACAGAATCCGAGAAGTAGCGTGAGGAAGGTGCAAACGGCAGGCAGGCGCGACAGCCATGCGGAAGAGGACAAAGCCCGCAGACCTCACGCGCAGCCAAAAAGACATTCGCGACGAAGCGAGAACGAGAACCGAACCACCCTGAGCCAAACGTTGGCCTTTTCACCCGCGTGCCTTCCGCCGAGAAAATGGCCGCGGCCTCGGGCGGGACCCCTATCTATGGACACATGCGCTCTGATCTAATGCAAGCTCCGGACAAACACCAACCATGCGAAAACACATGTCTGAGCGATGGGCATTGCTGCAAACCAGGGCTAAGAACATCACGGCAAAGAGCGAGAGGTGCTCTGTGGCGCAGGTGACAGTGCCCTCAGCAGTGCCCACCAAGGTGACGCCCTCTGAGGACCAATCCGAGAGCACCTCGTCCCAGAAGACGCAGCTCGGTCGGAGAGCTGGCTTTGGCGTGTACGGGAACGTCAAGAGGATGGGCGCAGGCAGCAAACCGCTCACCTCAGAGGCCGAGGCATTGAAACTCTCCCTCCGGTAGATCTGAAGGCTCAGGAGAGGCTCAGCAAGGCGGTCATCGGCGAAGAGATGGAAGGCCGAGCTGTTCTCCGTCACGAGGCCTGCGCTGATGGCCCAAACCGCTCCAGCTTCCGATTCAAAGGACTGGAGAAAAGCCGTCGGTAGCTCCACGGCGACGTCACCGAAGCTGATGGTCAGGGCAGCAACGCTGTCGGCGACCAGCTTCGAGACAACCCGTGCGTCCAGAGCGACATCCTCCGTCTCAGCAAGCACGCTGCCGTCCGTGACATTTCCAAGCTGCATGGCGAGAAGCGTGCTCGAGGCGAGTCGCTGGACGTCTTCCACCGCCAGCAACGCTCCTGTGGCGTTTCCTGCGCCGGCTACAGGGCCGGAGCTCACCGGTTCGGAAGTCGTCGTCATCGTCGTCGTCGTCGTCGTGGGCTGCGTGATGAAAAGGTGTACTGTGTCCACGACGCTGGAATCTGTACCACCGTAGGTCCAGATCTGGCCCAGCGCATCCATCACGGCCACATGGTTGTATCGCCTCATGCTCGAAGGACTCGCAAATTCCGTCCAAGTGTCACCCTGGATGTCATAAGCCCACACGTCAGAGAATTTAGTCGCCACGGAGTTCACAGGATCAAAGGAGTACCCACCGTGAATCCAGATCCTGGCCTGGCTTTCCGAAAAAACGGCCGTCGGGCTCCTGCGCTCGTCCGGGCCGTCGGCCTGGGTCCAGTTCGTCCAGCTGCCTTCTTGGATGTCCAGACAAAGCAGCTCCTTTGAATACTGCCCGCCATCCAAGGAACCCGAGAAGATCCAAATTTTGGATGCGCCTCGCTCCACGATGCCTGCGTGGTAGTGCCTGCCAGCACCAGGCCCATCGGCAGATTGGCTCCAGGTGTTGGCCTGGATGTCATACGCCCAAACATCAAGAACGAGGGAGATGCCCCCCAGGATCCACATCTTTGAACCTTCCAACACTGCCACGTGGCCAAACCGTGCCGAGGGCGAAGCAGGGCCTGCGGGGGTCAGCTGCAGCCAGGAGCCTGCGAAGGTGTCGTAGGCATAGAAGTCATCTAGGGCCGAGGGCGCTCCGCCCCCGAAGATCCAAACCTTCCTCTCCGCAAAGACCGCGGAGGCCGCCTGCCGTGGTGAGGGGCCCCCGGGGGCCGAGGCATTGCGCCAGGAATCTGTCAAGGTCCCATAAGCCCAGATCTCTCCGATGTAATCGAAGGGCCCACCGCCGCTCGGAATCCCACGACCTCCAAAGCTCCACATCTCTTGCGTCTCGTTGTCGAAGGTCGCTGCAGGCCATTGCACCCTGAACGGCCCACTCTGGAAGGTAGAAGAAGTCCAAGCTTGGCCGCTTGCCAACAGCGACTCTGTCCACCACACCAGGACACACAGATGCCATGGCATTCTGAACTCCTGGACGTTGCTGCTACGTATAATGGTTTCCTCATTGCGAGATTGCTTAAAATACGAGTGATAGTTTCGTGATCGTGCTTGTTGAGTGCTCAAAATCTGATTGAGAAAAATCTTATGATAGTCTCCTTATATTCTGAAGGCTGCTTGCTAGAAGCACGAATAACCAAAGAAAGTGAGATAGCTTCCTGACCGTGACGGCTGCTCACTGCAAGTGCGTAGACAATCAAACATATATGGCAGTATCCATACCGAATAAGCTATAATATGAAAATTAAATGCACCTCAAAATTTGGATCCGTATAGGTTGCTTGCTGCAAGTGTAAATAACCACATGTGAGTGTCAATTTCGTCAACATGCAGAATTATTAGCAAAATATACGTGAGCAAGAAGGTTGCTTATCGCAACCAAGCAAAGTTCCATGAGCATGATAGTTTCCTTATCGTGCAGGTTGTGAATTCAAAGCCCAACCAAAATCAGCGTGACCATTTCCTTGGAGTGCAGGTTTCTTGCAAAAATCGAACAAGCATAATGAGCGTCCCAATTTCCTTACCGCGCCTGCTTGCTCGAAGCGCGAACATACCAAATCAATCTGATGACTTCCTTATTATGAAGCTGGCAAAACGAATAGCATCGAACAACTAGCATGACAGTTTCCTTACCGTGCGGGATGCATGATCAAAATCCGAACAAGCTGTTGGAAGCACAAGCAAATAACATGATTTCGATAATTTCTTTACCGCCCAGGCTGCATGCCCAAAGTCCGAATAAGTAAATATGCTTGAGAGTTTCCATCCCTTAAAGCCTAGTTGCTGCAACATTAAACCTAAAATTAGCACGAAGATTCTTTAATCGCGCAGGCTGCGTGCTCCAAGAACGACTAAGCAAAAAACGTATGATAGTTTCCTGACCGTGAGATTGCTTAAAATACTAAGTGTGTTAATTTCGTGACCGTGCTTCTGCTCAAAGTCTGATTGAGAAAAATCTTATGATAGTCTCCTTATATTCTGAAGGCTGCTTGCTAGAAGCACGAATAACCAAAGAAAGTGAGATAGCTTCCTGACCGTGACGGCTGCTCACTGCAAGTGCGTAGACAATCAAATATTATATTATATTATATTATGTTATATTATATTATATTATATTATATTATATTATATGATTTTATATTGTATTATATTATATTATATTATATTTTATTGTATTATATTATATTATATTATACTATATTATATTATATTATATTATAGTATATTATATTATAGTATAGTATATTATATTATAGTATATTATATTATATTATATTATATTATATTATCTATATATATATATGTCGTATAGGCTGCTTGCTGCAAGTATAAACAAGCACATGAGCGTGAGAATTTCGTCCACGTGCAGAATTATCAGCAAAATATACGTGAGCAAGAATAAGAAGGTTGCTTATTGCAAATAAGCAAAATATAATGAGCGTGACAGTTTCCTTGCCGTACAGGCCATCTGTTCCAAGCCCGAATAAGCAAAATGTGCGTGACAACCTCCTTAAGCTAACGGCTGTTTTGCTGGATGAGCGAAACGCGACATCAGCGACAATTTCTTTATCGTGCAGATTATTTCTTGCATGAGTGACTATTTTCAAGCATATTAATAAGGGAATTCCAAATATACGAATGGAGCAATAAGCGCGATATTTACCATGCAAGGCGCTTGTTAGAAGTGCGAATAAATAGAATAGTCGTGACAATTTCCTTGGCGGGCGGCTTCTTGCTGGAAATACGAAAAGCAAACTGTACGTGACAATTTCGCTATCCGACAAGTTGCCTAGGTTTTCCGTATTATGCAGCAGGCTCCTGGCTGAAAATATAAAGTGCCAAAAGGATCGGTATAAAAATTTGCTTACCATACAAGTCGCTTGCTAAAAGTGCGATCAAGTCAAATCAATCTGAGAATTTCTTAACCATGAAGATTACTTACTGGCAAAAAGAAGAGTCAAAATCAGCGTGACCATATCCTTACCGTGCAGAATTCTTATAAATTCGAACAAACATAGTAAGCGTCCCAATTTCCTTACCGTGCAAGCTGCCTACTAGAACTGCGAATAAACTAAATCAGTATGACGACTTCCTTATTATGAAGCTGGCCAAAAGATTAGTATCGAGCAACCAGCGTGATAGTTTCTTGACCGTGCAGGATATCTCATCAAAATCCGAGAAAGCTGTTGCATGAACAAATAAAATGAGCTCGATAGTTTCCTTGCCGTCCAAGCTGTATGCTCAAAATCCCAATAAGCAAGTATGCGTGAGAGTTTCCATTCCTTGAAGGCTGGTTGCTATAAAAACGAATATTCAAAATTAGCGTGATATTTGTTGAATCGCGCAAGTTGCGTGCTCGAAGTCCGAAAAAACAAACTGCCCGTATTTCCTTATCATGAGGCTGCTTGCTAGAAAAGCGAACAACCAGAATACAAATAATAGTTTCGTCAGCGTGCTTGTTGTATGCTCAAAGTCCGGTTAAGCAGAATGTGCATGACAATTGTTTTATGTTGTGAAGACTGCTGCTAGAATCACGAACGACCAGAAAAGGCGAGATAGTTTCCTTACCATGAAGGATGCTCGCTGCAAGTGCGAAGAAAATATAACAAGCGGGATAGTATCCGTGCCGAATAAGCTATATATTGAAAGTCCGAATTACGAGTAGCAAAGTGCACCTCAAATTTTGGTTCCATGCAGGCTGCTTGCTGCAAGTGCAAACAAGGACAAGAGCGTGACAATTTCGTTCATATAAGGTTACTTATAGAGAACAAGAAAAAATAAAATGAGCGTAATAGTTTCCTTTTCGTGTAGGCTGTGTATTCAAAGCCCGATTAAATCAAATGCGCGTGACAGTCTCCTTACGGTAGCGGCTGACTAATGGAAGTACAAAAAGCTATCAACGATGATTTCTTTATCGTACAGGCTAATTTTTTTGAGAGAAAGTTTTCAATCGCATTGAGTAAGAGAATCTCCTAGCATATCAATAAAGCAACTGCGCGCGATAATTGCTTTTTCTTGTAGGGTGCTTGCTAGGAGTGCGAACAAGCCGAATAATCGTGACGGTTTCCTTTATGTTGAAGTGGCTGTGCTGGACATTGGAGCAAAGGCCATAAGGGTGACAATTTTCTTGTTTCTCTATCGTACAGGCTGCTTTCAAACGAGACAATGCCTCATACGGGTGATACTATTTTATACTATGCAACAAGCTGCTGGCTAAAAATACAAGATGCCAAGATCAGTGTGATAGTTTCCTTATCATGCAAGCTGCGTGCTAGAAGTGCGATCAAGTCAAATCAGCACGACAGCTTCTTTACCATGAAAGTTGCTTGCGAGCAAAAAGAAGATCCAAAATCAACGTGACCATTTCCTTACCGTGCAGGTTTGTTCTTGCAACAACCGAACAAGCATAATGAGCGTCATAATTTCCTTACCGTGCGAGCTGCTTGCCAGAAGTGCGAACATGCCAAATCAACGCGACGATTTCCTTAGTATGAAGCTAGAAAAATGAAGAAAAACCGAATAGCCAAAAAGAGCGTGACAGTTCCGTTTCTTACCGCATCAGATGCGTGATCAAAGTCAGAAAAGGCTACTGGAAGAATGAATAAACAAAATGAGCTTGATAGTTTCCTCGCCGTCCAGGCTGTATGCCCAAAGTCCGAATAAGAAGATGTGCATGAGAGTTTCCATATCTTGAAGACTGGCTACTGGGAAAACGAGCAACCAAAATTAGCGCGATCTTCTTTAATCGCGCAGGCTGTATTCGAAGTCCGAATAAGCAAAAAACGCAAGATAATTTTTGCGTATGCCTGAAAACCGAATAAGCAAATGTGCGTCCAATGAGTCTGCTTCTGCTACTCGTGTTAGAAACCTCCCGTCCAAGATGTTGGTCAAGGGATGATCGTTGCCAGGCCACAAGCCAAGTTGTGGCTGAGTGATCTATGGAGCCGTAGAGGCGAAGTTCCTTCTCCGAGAGCACATAAAAAGAATCGCACAAGCGCGCCCCCAACGGCAACAATTATAGTCCATCAAAGCCACAGATGCGCGAACCTTCAAGCACTCATTGCCTGCCCCAAGAAGCCGCAGAGAAATACTGAGAGGGTTGGGGAGAAGATGAGGACGAGAATGGAGGATGGAGTTAAACATGAGGAGTAAAACAAATAAGCGACAAACACGCATCTTCTGGATTTTCATTGAAGATCCCTTGGTAAATTGAAGGTGCTTAGCTGATGAGGTACTGTAAGGTTGGGGAGGGGCAGTGTTACCACTTGAAAAGCAAGCTGATGCTACAAAGCAGAAATGCTACTCAGCTGCTACTCCTGCTCCGTCTGAATCTACAGCAGCTTGAAAGCCTGCTTTTCCTCCACTTCACGCAGCGACGATTGCCGTGTCAGCACACCAAGTCCCAAGCTCCAACACGTGCGGAGTACATCTTCGCATCGCCTGGAAAGATGATCACCGCATGGACAGCACAAGCTGTTATGCTGTTCCTGGAAGTGAACGATGGGAGTCGCCTAGCTGAGACCTGAAACTGCGCTGCGCCTAAGCTGCGAAGAACGGCCAGGCTGCCACGGCTGCAACCGCAGCGGGGCCAAGATGAAAGCCACTCCCGGTACCACGTGCTACCCTAGCGGGGCTACGGGGCATCGTGAGCGAGAACACCGCGAGTGCGGGTGACACCGGCCCTTAGAGCCTTGAAAGCGTGCAGCGCCAAGAGCCAGAGGCCACCTGACAAGATCTGATGGATCCGAAGGCGGCTGTTGCTGGCAATGCGGCTAGAGGCCTGTCATGACTGACATCCCCAAAACGGAAACGGCCAGCAAGGCCTTGTGCTTCAAATACGACCATCGTCTGACCGGGCAAGAGCACCATGCCACGCGGGAACTCAAAGACTCGAAGTGACAAGAGAGGCAGACAACCGGTCTGTCGGGACTCCGACTCCAAGATGTTTCCAGCAATTTGCAGGC